CAGTTCTAATCTGGTTACAATGCAGAATCATATCTTATGAGCTTTACTTATCAGTTATTGTTATAAAAACCCTAGAAAATAAGCTTTCCAAACTTAATTATTGTAATTTAAAAAGCCCATCTCAGAAAAAACATAATGTTTTTAAGGAGTGCTTATTCAAACATGATCTAAAAGGTCCTGAAATGTGTGAAACACACACACACACACACACACACACACACACACACACACACACACACACACAGCTTTAAAAAAGTCCACAGAAAACAGAAAAAGTAGGATGCCAAAAAAAATTTCAAATAACCAAAATTAAATAAAAAACCAAAAATAACCTCTCCCATCCTTGTATCAGTATTTCAATTAGTTATAAAAAGAAATTCCACTGAGTATAACTACTAATCAAATTATTGTTAAAATTGATATGCAGCCTAAATCTTATCAAGTTATTTGGATTTGTGTTATTTTACTGTAATTATAAACATAGATCCCTCTTTAATGCAGATGCTGGGAAGATGACTGAAGATGAGAAACCTAAGCATTATTTTTTGTAGTATCATACTTTTTTTAACACGCATTTCTGTCCCTATTTCTCCCATTCCTAACACATTCTGAAGAACAAAGTAGTTGCTGCAAGAATACAGAGCATGACCAATTCTGTAAAAGGACCGAATACAAAGAAACTTAGTTTGCAAAAACGAGGCATCCTCCACGGTTTTATGTACTGTACCCTGACTGCTCCTGAGTAAGAAGGGAGCTCGTCCTCCGTGAGATAAGGCTACATCCTCACTTGTTGGTGAGACCAATCTCTACACTTAGAAAATCCCAAATAAAATTACAGCAAAGGTAGTGTTTGAAGTAATTAACTGAAGCATTTTTGAAGGTAGTGTGTGCACATTTTCCAACTCCTTCCCCTCTGGGTGAGCACTAAACAGACTAATCTATTAAGTGAATTTAGTAGTGAGAAAAAATTATAAAATATAATTAGAAATGACCCACATTTTTCATCAGCATTGAATAACGAAATTTCTTAAATTCAAAGGCTCATTGTTCTTCTTAGCTTTTTCTTTAGCTTAATCCTTCAATTAGCTGAATTGTAGAAGAAAAAAAAAATGAAGTTTTTAAGATGGCTTTCCAATTTCCAATGATAAAGCTCCCAGTATGGCAAAGGCGGTTTCTAAAAGGGGGCTTTTTCCCTCTTCTTCTTCTTTTTTAAATAAAGGCAAATATAACTTAAAAAGAAAAAAAAAAAAAAAGAAAAAGAAAAAGAAAAACATGCAGGCTCTATAGGCAAGGAGTCCACTTTCATGTATCTGTTCTCTGTGAGGTAACTAAATTCTCTTTTGTAGAGAAACATGCAAAAGGCCAAACAATATTCCGAGCCATACTGCACAAGAAATTTTAAATTACCTAACATTCAGAATGCACCATTCATCTCTGCATACACAAGTTAATGCAAATTCTGCAAAAAAACAAGTGTCACAGTAAATGAAGTTAGGTGCAAGCAATGGTAGCTGGACAACGATGCAGTAGTGCTCACCCAGTTTGTACAGTAATTGGCACTCTACAGAATTCCTACTCATTTTTTGATTCATTCGCACTTTGTGCTGCCTCTCCCTGGGGATCTAATTCAATCTTTACAGAAACATCTGGCCCCTCCGACCTCATTAATTTCATCTTTTTCTTTGGAGGGTTTTTCAAAGTGCCCAGCCTCTCCTTTACTTTGTACTCCAGTGTACTGTGGGGAATCCCATAAATACTCTGAGCTTTGGAAACACTCATTTTTCCACTCATAACCACTGAGATCGCTTCCTCCAGTATCTCACTGTTGTACTGTCTGTAACGCCCTCTTTTCTTCCGAGGCTGCTTGGAGCCAGGGTCTCCTTCTTGATCCGATGTGGGATATGGCTGTCCAGAGGTAGACTGCTCAGCATCTGAGCCCCAAGAATCAGGTCCAGCATCTAACATGCTTTTTCTATTTTGTTTTGGAAGAATAGCCCTTAATTTTTTACTAAGCGCGCTCTCCGTTTGTGAACCCATTACCAAAGAGCTATAGCTGTACTGATCACCAGTGCGAGATTCCCAAGAAAGATCCATTCCTCGAACTTGTGGTATCTTTAAGTCTACAGGAGATGAATGGCTCACATCCTTTTTTCCATCTTGTTTTGCTTGAAGTGCCATTTTTGGAAAGGCAGAGTTTTCTGCAAGAAAAGGAAGGTCACTGATGTTGCCGAGTGCACCATTTCCCCTGAACTTCATGCGACTGAGGTTGAACTCATAATGTGGTTTTGCCCAAGAGGCTTCCCTGGATAATATTAAATGTTGTCCATGATTCTGTAATCCAGATGGCCCAAGGCTGGCAGCTGTGGACAATTGGTTTCTGCTCAGTAGTTCTTCACTAATCTGCAGGGATCGAGCCAGTGGAACTTTGAGTGATGTGGAGTGTCCAAAACCTTCCCTGGTTGCATCCTGTAAGCTTCTTGGAGGTACCCCATCACCACTGCGAAGTCCGTCTGGGCGGTACTGGCTGGGTCTCCCAGGTCGCCTAATTGGATGGAAGGAAACTGATGTGAGCAGGACTTGCACAGGTAGGGAGGGGTGGGTGAGGGGACCACTCCTTTATTAGAAGGCCTTGCTTGGGTAACATCACTTTGTGTTTTTTATTTATTTTTCTCTAAAAATTAAAAAAAAAATGGTCTCAGCAGGAAGCTTTAAAACTTGTTCACAAAAAGAAAAAGAAAAAAATAAAGAAAAAAAAAAGGAAAAAAGGAAAAAATAAAGGAAAAAGGAAAAAAAACAACAACCCAGGAGCTTTTTGGGCAAAGAAAAATTAAACCTGTTGGCTGGTCTCTGGTTGGGTTCACAAATTTTCGGAGAAAAAGTTTCGCGCAACTGTTTGAAAATAGCACTTTAATTATTAATTACAAAGTAATCATCAGTCTCCATAGATCTACACAGAATCGTGTTACCAATGTGACGTTACCACTAAACAAGTACAGCAATAAAAGAGTAAGTCAAATGATTTATTTTAATAAAGTATATTTAATGTTCATTACAGCTAGCTATAAAACTGGAACTATTTACATTGCTGGAACCCACAGATGACTGCTCATTCATTCCCACAAACAAGTTGATATTCTTCATCAAAAATCAAACAATTCCAAATAACACCTCTTATTTTTCTTGGAAAAAATACACATATGTCAACCAGCTCCCCAAGGGAGTGGGGGGAAAAAGAACCAAAGACACGCTGTATTGTAACTTACCATATTTCTTCATTTTAAAGAAACTATGAGTTGCAGGCACATAAGTACTGTGATTTTCTATTTGAAATAATTCAAGCTTTTAAAAACTACCCTTTATTTCCCCCAATATTTTGTTCCTTAAGTTCTACTCAAGGTAATTTCTTCTTGAAATACCAAACATCTCCTGAAATTTCAAGTGAACAGCTTTCAAATGATGTTTTAAAATGTCAACAACCTGCACCAAGTTCAATACCAGGTTTCAATTTTCATAGTAGGGAAAGATTATCAATATTAAGATCGGTGACTAACAAAGCATGCCCAAGGGAGAATGATTGTATCAGCTAGGTGAAAAAGTAGGACCTTGCCAAAACATTAAATCAGCTTTGCTCTTCAAAACTCTACAGTGATTGCCATTATCAGTAAGCCATACAATAAGGAAAACACGGAATGTTTAACTGAAAGATGGGAGTATACTACTGCTTTTACACCTGTCTTCTGTAAAACAAACCCAGGTAAAAACTACTTTCAGAGTGGATAAACAGAGCTGTAACAACACAACACACAGACCTGGCAGGCAAATTCAAGGTGAATCTTAGGTAAGAGATTCATTTATATAGTCTGCATTTGGTTTCTTCTAAATGTATTTATTCCTAATTACAACTCAAGTTTGATATATAAAAGTAACCAAAGATCCGGGGTGATGTGACTTACATTTGTATAAACCATAGTGAAAACTAGTGCTAGTGGTTAAGATAAAAAAAATTAGTAAACTACGAAAAATGCATTAAGTTTTTAGAATGAGTAAAGAAAAAGAGAAAAAATATGATGAAATTTTAGAGAAAAGAGGGTAATTTTAGAAGCTAGTAAAGAAACCCTGGAGTTTGAAGGTAATTAAGTTGGAAAAGGTTAATCATTCATAAAGGTTTTGATTATAAAACTGGTGACAGAAAACCATTTAGTGTACTTTTATTCCTTTAAAATACAATTAACTTGCTCATGTTGATGTTATAAAAGTATTACCTAATTTCAACCTATAAAACTAGTTTTTTATATGTAAAGTTGATTATAACACAATTTCACGAAAATGGCTTTCCACAGTGGTGTTTAAATACCTTAACTCTTGACTTTTCTAAGTATTTACTACATACACAGAGACAGATACTTTTTATACTTCAAAATTAAGTGGCTAGAGAATTCAGTATTGTCGGTTAAGAGTTACCAAAATTGAGCATGTAATAATGTTTAGATGGTCATCCATCAACATATACAACCAATTCTGGACTAAGAGACAAAGAAATATGTTTTCCAGAACTGCCACACAGAGTTAAAACTGCAGTTCATATCAACAAACAAAATCAAAACAAACAAAAATGAGCACATACATACAGAAGTCCCACTAGACATGTAGTTAAATAAACACTGGAACCTGATTTTCATTCAATAATACTGTCTTTGCTTCAAAACTCTGGAGTTTTTTAGCTTGGGTTTCACATTCCCAAACACTTAACAACAAAAATACAAGGACATAATCTTGCTATAATATTATTTACTAAAATGCTAAATTAAAAAGACTGACCTATTTAAACAATTCTAGATTGCACAGATCACATTTCTACTTGATTAAATCATTTTAAGGAAAGCTCACCTGTAAGACTGTTATTCTGAATGGTTGATGTTTAAAATGTACAAAGCAGATTGGCAACAATCTTTGACGAATAGCCCACATAACAATGAAAGACTACAAGTACTTTCTCTTACCCGTTCCCTGGAGTAGTGGAGCAGCCAGCAGAATGGCTCAGGGAAGTGCTCCCAGCACAAGGACTTTTTTTAGTGGACAGATCAAGTACACCGTCTGTGGAGACACAAGCACACACCTAAAGTTGTCAAAAACTAGGCGCAAGTGCACACTGAATAGGTTAAAAGTGAAAATGGAACAGGCTCAGCAGATACAGCAGTATAACATCACTCAATTCAATACAACCAGAATATTTTCCCTCTTGAAATGACATTAATTTAGTAAGCATGTTATATCTAATATTTTTAAGGGGTTTACTAATAAGGTAACCAGAAAAAGTAAAACATATTACAGAGATATTAAAGGACTGAAGTATTAGAAACAACAGGCATAAAGTTTTTCCAAGAATTTTAGACTTTATGTTCTAAACATATGGATCAAATTGTGTTTTTAATGCCTCATAATATCATTCGAACAAAAAAACTAAGTTTTTCAAGAACTCTGAGTTGTACCTTAGACTCACAAAGTACATTAAACTTGGATGTGAAACCGTTAAGATAAAACAATCTCTAAATGTTTAGATTAAATTACCAGTATATACACTAAACAAAGTAGTTTGCAAGAAGTATGTCCTTATTGTTTTTTGGACATATTTACAAAAAAAAAAAAGACTTCAGTTAAATCTCTAAGGGGAAATTTGGAAATTTGCATATTTTAAATTTAATTTCTGAAATTTTTCAATTAAAAAAGTGTTACAAATTGTAGGGCAATGTTTAAAGAATAATGCAACAATCCTGGCACTAATGAGAGTTTGGGAGTGTAACCTGAAAGCTAGATCAAATCACAAATTCATATTATTGTAACATTTGAAACCTTTCCTTTTCCTCAAAAACATTTTACCCATTTATAGACATACCTACAAAAGAAATCTTACCTCCCCGCCCCAAAAAAGAAATTTCATAACTTGAACAACTTTTAAAGCTGCCATTCTGCTCAACATTAACAAAGCAAGATACTACGCAATGTTTCTGATTGTCAGTTTGCCAACAGAAAAGTGCTGCTACCTAGTAGTAATAAAAATCACCTTGGGATAAGATCTATTTGTATCTGAGGACAATCTCCTTGTTTCGGGCCGTTAGAACCAAGTATCTATTAGATCTCTACTGAGCAAATGCATTGCTTAAAAATATTTCTAACTGAAGGCAGTGTTATTTAATGACTTCAAGATCAATTTGAAATTGTATCAAATTAGCAACTTATTTTAAGTCTATGTCTCAAAATACTGCAATTTAAGTTGGAAGCTCTAAAATTAAGACAGTGTTATAAGAATTTTATTTCATACATGCTATTGTATTTTTCAAACTTTTCTTGATAAGAGTTTGCTGCCATGCTAAATTAAACCGAATGTTATCACTATATACTAACTTTAATTATCAGTATTTTATACCTCTACGATGTCATTTTATTACAAACCTAAAACTTTTGATGCAATATTCGCAACAAAGAGGTTTTTTTTTAATGGAAACTATCTTTTTGTAGTGAAGAATTAAAGAATACAATCTTCAATAAAACAGAAAAGTCACAGCTCTGCAAATGTGGTAGCGACTGACTACTGTGAACATAAAAACTGGCAGGCCTCCCATACAGACTTGTCAAAACTTACAGGACACGGGGAAAAAGCAAAGAAAAACAACTCAAAGAATACTTTTTTAGTAAGCAATAACATCTGAGTATTCCATTAAACATAAAAAAAAAAAAAAACAGAAAATGCAAAGATCATCCTTTAAGGAGGTTCTTTAAATTATTTACTTTCAAAATAAATATGTACTAATCTCCAGTGAATTCATACATCTTATAATCTTTCCAAAATAAGTAATTTTTGGGATTTCAAAAAAATCTTAGTATAAACACTAATAAAATAAAATCTTAGTATAAACACTATTAATTTCTAATTTGTCGCGATTCAAACAATAGCTGAACGGAAACGCTCACTTCATCTATATGAAATTAAAAGTAAAAAGAGATCACACAGTAACAGGATTATGTAATGTATTTAAGATAATAAACACGTAGAGACTGATTCAAAAAGTATAAGCTAAGCAAAACCAGTAACTCCTAACCTATTCACTTAATGTGGGTCTTTATCAATAAATCCCTTTTGGAAACATTTTAAGGCTAGCTCTTAATACAGCACATTTGTATTTTTGTTTTGGTGTTTATAAAACATTAAAAACATTGTTAATACTTAAAGTATTAAACATCCCTTAATGGTTCTTCTAAAAAGCTGCAAATATATATTTTTTCCTCATGAACTCATTTGCAGATTATCATTTCTATATAACAGGTAAAGGTGTTATTTCTCAGGTAGACACATTGAAGGATAAGGGGAGAAACTATTTTAAAGGAGCTTTTATAAAAAGGGCATGACAATATTCTGAAAAGTGAAAAATGCTCTTAAAATCAAATAACATAAAGATGAGGAATAACTATAACCACCTGACTTTCCTTGGTGGTAGATCCATAATAACTATACAGCTAATGGGTAAGGTTTTAACACTAGATCTCTACCTTTCCATTATTGCAGTCAGGAATAAATTAAGATTTACAACATTTAAAATTTTATTCTTGCTGCTGGGTCGCTTTTTATCAGTATTTTTTTTCTCCCCAAATCAAAGTTTTCTGATTGGATAGAGGAGACCTTGACGTTCCACCATACCTTGTTCGCTAGGTTCTGACTGAGACTTTCTGACAGTAAGGTCCAGAGGTGAGTCTTGGTCAGCCATGAGAAGTTTGCTGAGCACAGGGTTCTGAGTAGTTGCAGCCGTGGGAGAGGTGGTGACTGGAGATGCTTTCGGCAGGCTTTGGTTCTTTGTGCTATTGGGCTGGCTGGGGTCCTGAGTAGAGCTATTTTTTGAGGTATATTCAGCAGCAAATTGTTGGATCATTCGCTGCATGATCTCACGGGCCACTAGGGGAATATTGGGGTCGGAGACCCAGGGACTTTCTGTAAACAGAGATTTATTTACTTTTAAAGTGGGACAATGTACTAAAAAAAAAAAAAAATACAGCTTTCAAGCAAACATAAAATTCCAGTTTATTTTTTTTTGCAAATACAATATCCTGAAAATAGTATTCACCCTCTGACTTACACTTTTAATCTCTAAAATTTTGAGTTGCAGATTTTTAAAAATAAAACTTTCACAAAAAATATTTCTGAACATATCCCCCTCCCCACAGGTTTATGGAATTTTAAAAAGGGATGACAGAAGTCAAGATTATGGGCAAGAATCACTTACCTGATGCAGAAATCTCAAAGCCCTTATCTTAGGAAATAATTACTGCCTTGACAAAACCTATTGATCCTACACACTCTCCTAGATTTTCCCTTAGCCACTGCTGCCTAAGTTGTTCCACATGGGGTTCAACATGAGTGCTTAATTTCCTTCCTGCTAGAGCCTGAGGATATGTCAAGGTTATAGAAGGAGATATTTAAAGATCCATGACAGGCTACAGCAATAGTTTTCACACATCATTATCATCAAATTTACTTTGAAAGAAGCTTGTAAAAGCAGACTTAAACCTATTATTCTCAGATGGGGGTCTTAAGAACTGACATTTCTAACACCCTGCTATATGCTACTGATGATAGAGATTACAACTTGAGAACCCATGGGCTAGTTTGTTTACTGAAAACAAAAATCTTAAGACTACATATTTTCCATAAATTCTTTAAATACATCCTGCCTATTATTACAACTGCTGGGGTAGTGATGAAATAACATTCATGTTGTTAATTTCTAGTCAAGTGTGAAGTTTAAAACAGACCATATGAACTCAATAAATAAAACTGGCTACCAGGGAAGATCCTGAAGGTCAAATGGGGAAGAACTGACAATCATCACAATATCCCTGTTATCAGAACACTGTAAGTCCATCACAGAAATGGAGCTTCTGAAAGCAGAGATTTTGCTTAAGTCTCGATCGGTGCAAAGTATGCATTAACTTTTCTGTGAGAAATTCCTGGGGTCAATCAAATCAATCACCATCTAATACTTTTCTTAAAAAGCAAATGAGCATTGTGCTTTGAAGGGCAAATGGCCTCTACAAATCTGTACAGATAGTAAGTGATAGGCCACTGATCTTATAATGCTGCACCTGTAACTCACTCTTTTCTACTGCATTCCTGTTGCCTTGACTTTTTGTAAACGGGAACATGGAAGGAACTCAAGAGGCTGATTTATAAGGCTGAAGAACTGACTCTCACTACTACTAAAACCTGAAACATATCATCTGAGACTCATACGACTCTTAAAACAAATCATTTTTTCCATGAAGGACCACAGTCAACACCAGAAAAAGTCACAGTATTTGTCTTATCCTTTGGAATTTAAAAAATCTTGCCGAGTCAACATTTTTGCCTTACTAAGAACCAATTATAACTCCATTTTCCTCCCTATAAAACAGACTATAAGCATTCTACATGATTTCATAAAAAAAAAATTTTAAGGTTTTGCAGTTCCTATAATTATGGAGTGATTCCTCAGAATGTTTTTCAAACATTTTAGTCATGATTTTTTTTCATTTCTCTACCCACAGATTTTTTAGAATCTCTTTTGAAATATTTCTTCCCAATGTATTTTCCAATTCACAGACATTTAACTGTCTAGTTAACATCCCTTTTCAGAGGTTGGCCATTTGAGCAGTGCATTAAGCTGCCTCTTGCCTCCCATGATGGAGCGTTGGCTGTTTCACTTCCAATCTGACTTCATGCTAAGGAGCCTGAAAAGGCAATAACTTGGCTATTTCAGACATTTGGCAGAGTGAAGAATTAAATAAGAGTTCTCTGCTTCTGTCTTTGTCACTCTTTCAAATAAATAAAATACATGTTTTCTAAAATCAAAAGCCACTGGGGCAGAATGGTGGCTTAACAGGCTAATCTTCTGCCTTGCAAGGTGGGAATCCCCCCATACTCCTCTGCTTCCAATCCAGCTTCATGCTTATGGTATGGTTACACATCAATGGATGGTTCAAGGCCTTGGGACCCTCAACTCATGTGAGAAACCCAAAAAAAGCTCCTGGCCTTGGATAAGCTCAGGATAGCCACTGCAATCATTTGGGGGAGTGAACCAGTGGATCTTTATCTCCTTTTCTCTGTAAAATCTGTCTTTCAAATAAAAAGCTTAAATAAATCTTAAAATTTCAAATTTTAATGTATTAATGAACTATTTTCCTCTTGAAAAGTTAGGTGATATTAATATAAAGAGGATCTTCCAATCTGGGGAAAATGAAATAATTTATGATTTACTGCTGTGTTTAACAAGCATTAAGAAATATCATTTGAAGCTGCATGGAGAGTCAAAGATCGGAAGCATTATCTTTTAGATTTAAATGCCTATGCCCGCAACGATGGACATATGACTGAGTATGAAGAACTATATGTTAGTAATGATATAGAGGAGCTGGAGGGGGGGTATTGGGGAGGGGGTAAGGGAATATGGAACTGTATCATAAAATGATAGCAATAATAATAAAATGTAAAAAAAAACCTAAAAAAACAAAAAAGATTTAAATGCCTAAAGCATAGCCTGCCTCTTTCCTGAAGGACTAATGCAATCGTCAGATGGAACATGTGCGGGGTTTATGAAAGGTATCTCTTCATTTAAATTTCTACATCTTTACAAAGTTTTCTACACACATGTACTTAAAAATACAACATTTCTGGGCAATGTCTAGGGAAATGCCTAGGGAAACACAACTGAGTCAAATAAAAGGCAAATCAAATCAAAATACAACTACAGAAAAACATGCCAAAGCTGAATCACAGCCATGTAAGTATTTTTAAGAGCAAATCTGACTTTCAGAAGTTGGTATTGTGGCATGTGACAAAGCAAGGTTAAAAACAATATGAATATGACAGCTGTGGAAGGTATACACGAAGGCCTACTTCTGATGCATCTGTATATTCTTATCTAAAACAAGTAATATGCAACACTTAGTGGAAAGATCTAAATCCAAGCATCTTAATATTAAATGTTCTTACTCAAAGATCTGAAATCCAAACTGATCCAAATAACCAAAACCTAACTTTCCTGAGTGCCAATTTGCTGTCACAAAGGTTTGGATTTTGGAACATTTAGGACTTCATTTAGGACTAGGGATGCCCAACTGGTAAAAAAAACAAACAAAAATAAAAAAACAATACAAATATTAAAAATATTCAAAAAACCTGAAAAGTTCCCAAATCTGAAACATTTCTGGTCCCAAGCATTTTGGATAACATCAACCTACACTCACAAAAGGTTTCCTCCTAGACTAATCTTTGTTACATTCAAGAACACTGAATATTACTTTCAGAGTACCGATCCCTATCTTTTAGATATTTCAAACATGATGAATAAAAATATAGAAAACATCAACACACTAGGCAAGAAAGAGAGAAATTTCAAGTTCAAAGCAGCCAGTTTTCTGAGCACTGCATTCCAGTACACCAACAAATACAAAAACTTCCATAGAACAGCTTGTGCAACACATCCGATTAAGCTGCCACTAAGTGCCTGGCCAGGCCCCTCAAGTCCCAGCTGCTCTTCTTCTGACAGACACGTGAGAAAGCAGCTCCATGTGGGAAGCTCCGATGGAGCCCCAGTCTTCAGGATTTGGCCAGTACAATAGTTGTGGCCATTGAATGTGAATGAACAGACGGAGGATCCCTACCACCTGTCTTCAAATAAATAAATCTTAACAACAACAACAACTACTCTCTAAAAATTATTTCCTCAAAGGTCTTATTTCTAAACAAGAAAACTTCTAAGAAAAGTTTTTCCTCTATGACAAACGGATGTCACTAATAGAGAAGACAATGGAATCCCTCTATAGGAATCTGTTTATGACTGACCTTATTTAGTGGATTGAATAGAATTTTTCTCCCCATACCGGCCATAACCAGTCTCTATTACATGTCAGACTATGGGGCTACCTAATCCTGTAACTTCCAATCACAAGCAGAAATAAACCTTTCTTTCTTAAAGATCCACTTCTCAAGTTTTAGTTTAACAAAAAGCAAAATAGTACACAGATGAAAAGTTGTTCCTCCGTGGAAGTTAGGGAAAGGAGTTCCTCTTTTCAGATAATGAAGCTTATTACATGATACCACACCAAAGACCCTGAATATGTCCTAAAAGGAGCTGAAAATAGTTCCTTTGTTTAAATTCAGAGAACAACTCTAACAGTTGCTTATACCTTAAAAGTAAAATGTTTTAATAAAACAATTAGGAAAATGTCTACATTTAAGGTAAATTTGGAATTCAAAACACTTTCTGAAAACAGTAAGATGAGGATGGCAAATTTAGTTGGAACATTTAAATCAGAGTCCTAGTGGGTATTAAAAGAAAAATAGGGGTGTATTAAAATTTAGTTTTGCATAGGAATCTAAAAAGAAATGCAAAGAAAAAGTTCCATTAGAAAAAATAATCCTTACATACTTTCAATTTGATAGAGCACTTTACTATATGCCACTATCTGAAAACACTGATCAAATCATGTTGAAGTGCAAATGTTATGCCAATCAGAATCAGTAATTATTGTTTCAATCACTGTACAAGATCAAAACACACCCTCCATACATCAAAATAATTTGGAAAATTTCCAGAGGAATGAGTGGCATAAATGAAGACAAACAGAGAAATATTTTATCACTAAGTCTCTTGAAAACTACATAAAAATAATCCAAATTATCAACTATGTAAAAAATTATTTTTTCAGAACCTACTCTGGTCCACCTGCATTTTTAAACAAGAGGAAAAGTATGATTAAGAATTACAGATTCATTTTAGAAAAGAATTTCTTGGAAGTAAATAAATAGTGATCATGAAAGAAAGTTTCAGGAACAACACCAGAGCCATAAGCAGTAGCTAAAACTTTGTGTTGAATGCACCATGATCCCATAGGGATAGGGATGCCAGTTGGAGACCCAGCTGTTTTCACTTCACATTCAGCCCTTGTATGTGGCCTGGGAAAGCAGTAGAGGATGGCCCAAAGCACTGAGACCCCACAAAAGAAGCTCCTGGATCCTGGCTTTGGATCAGCTCAGCTCTGACCATGACTGTCACTTGGGTAGTGAACCAGCAGACGGAAGATCTTTCTGTCTTTCCTTGTCTCTGTGAATCTGCCTTTGCAATAAAAATAAATCTTAAAGAAAAAAAAGTTTCAAGTAGCAATTATAATCAGGGACAAAAAAATCAAATCTCTCCATGAAGAATTTCTAAATTAGGGCTTGGAGGTGTGACCTAGCAGCTCAAGTCCTCGCCTTGAATACACCAGGATCCCATATGGGTGCCGGTTCTAGTCCCAGCAGCTCCACTTCCCATCCAGCTCCCTGCTTGTGGCCTGGAAAAGTAGTCAAAGGTGGCCCAAAGCCTTGGGAACCTGCACCCATGTGGGAGACCTGGAGGAGGTTCCTGGATCCTGGCTCTGGATTGGCGCAACACCGTCCGTTGTGATCACTTGGGGAGTGAATCATCAAATGGAAGATCTTCCTCTTTGTCTCTCCTCCTCTATGTATATCTGTCCTTGTAATAAAAATAAATAAATCTTAAAAAAAAAAAAAAGAAGCTGCTGGTTCTGACTCTGGAGGAGCCCAGCTGTGGCCAATGTGGCCATCTGGGGAGTGAATCAGCAGATGGACGATCTCTCTCAAGACCCACATCTCTCTCTTCTCCTCTGTGCCTGTCTCGTTAGGTTTCCACTCCTAACTCTGTGTTTTCCCAAAACAAAAGTAAATAAATAAATCTTAAATTCTAGTGAAAACGGCCAACTATGAGAGAAGAGAAAGTTTAACAAATTTATTTTAAATTATAGTTAATAACAGTTTCTGTACAATGAAACTTCAGAATTACTTAAATTCTAGAGTTAGTTTTCTGATTCTCAATAATCAATACTATTTATAAGCGAAGATTTGCCTAACAAAATATTGTACCAAGACCTTACAATTTTCAGAATTTCCTGATTTTTTGAACTATGTAAAACTCCCCATCACCATCATTTCAGGGCATTTCATCCTATTGCAAATTTAACTCACCAAAAACAAAGAAAAATATAAAGCAAATAATCAATTAAGAACAAATGTTTAAGAATGACTTTATGAGAGTGAAATGTAGGAGAATTAATATTAGATGCTAAATGTCATTCTTCACTGAAACCAACCTTTTCTATAAAAGACTGCATTGAGGAACTCTTCTGCTTGTCTCTCGAATCGGATGATTTTTGCTTGCTCTTGTTTAGGCAGAGCTTCTTGACCAGCTCCCGAAACTGGTTCATCCAGACCAACTAAGTGTCCCTGCAAAAATATTTGGTGAAAATCTTTCCCCATTTAATATCAAAAAACAGATGCATAATTAAAGACAAATGTTAACAGTAAATAATACAAATTAGCTTAACATACTTTAAACTTTAACTTTGGATAAAAACATAACCACAAACACAGAGAAGCAAAATGATATAAACATTCTTCAGGCAGATTTTATCCTTGTTTTTCAATCATGAGTTTCGTTCATTACTAACATGTAAATTGAACACTAATTACCTCTGGAAATTTTCCTTGAGCATTCAAAGACATTGGCTCTGCTACATTATCTCAACACTTCAGAGTGAATGTTCCTTTAAAGATTTCTAAACCTTAAATCTCATTTTTCTTTGTTTGATATTTTTTAGTATGAAATCTATTTTTTCTATACACAAAACACAAATATTTCTGGTTCTTTATAAATTAATTTTATTCTTTAAAATATTTTACTTGAAAACCTATTGTAGCTGGCATCATTGCATGGTAAGTTAAAACTTGGCCAATAGTGCAGGCACCTCATATGAGCACCAGTTTTGTGTCCTGGCTGTTCCATTTTTGATCAGCTTACTGCTAATGGCCCGGGTCCCTATATTTATATGGAGGAACTGGAATGTATGATTCATAAATGATTTTCATAACCATTTTCTGATTTCATGACTATGCTAGCAATACTTCTTAAGCATTTTGCAGATGTATGATGACATTAATTATACACTGCAAACAAATAAAACTCACTTGCATATTTAAACTGAAGCAATGAACCTTTAACTATGTAATGTAAGAAACAATAAGCTTGGTACATAATTCATCTTGACAGTTTTAAACAAAACATTTTAGGTCATCTTAAAACCATGAGAACCACAATTAGTTACATTCACCAACATTTTCTTTCATATGCTAAAAATCTATCAAAATATTTCTTAAAACTGATTCAAATAAAATAAGGTAATTTTGATATGAATTTAAGAATTAAAAGATCCTCAACAACATTAACTTTGGTGCCATTTCTTTGTCTACTCATTTTTAAAAATCCAGACAAGTAACATAAACCACTTAACTCTATGGTCCTATACTGAAGAGTAGTCACGCCATCTTCTAATCATAATTAATTCAGAATGACCAACCTAGCATTCAGTAAACAGGTATTATAGGCTCGTTCGTGACTCAATTAGCACTGTATTAAACTGGGTTTATGGAGTTACAGAACTGAATGGTACAGTTTGGCACACAACATTTTAAAGCCATGCATAGTTTTCACATAGTACATATATCCCATGAATTTTTTTTAAAAGACTTTTCCTTTGCAGGGATTTCAGAAAACTTTCTGCACAAAGAAAACCTAATCTTCTGACTCCTTTTTGAAGTACCCTAGTGTTACATGACTTTCTAATTTTACCCCTAATATCTAATAATACCTAAAAATATATAATAAATAATGTGAATCTATATCATAACAATCCAACTTCATTTTAGGGCTCAGCGTGATGACTCAGTGGTTAAATCCTAGCCTTGCATGTGCTGGGATCCCATACGGGTGCTCACTCAAGTCCCAGCTGCTCCACTTCCCATCTTGCTTCCTGCTTGTGGACTGAAAAAGCAATCAAGGACAGTGCCGGGCCCGGCAGTGTGGCATAGCAGCTAAAGTCCTCGCCTTGAATACACCAGGATCCCATATGGGTGCCGGTTCTAGTCCCAGCAGCTCCACTTCCCATCCAGCTCCCTGCTTGTGGCCTGGGAAAGCAGTCGAAGATGGCCCAAAGCCTTGGGAACCTGCACCCATGTGGGAGACCTGGAGGAGGTTCCTGGATCCTGGCTTTGGATTGGCGCAGCCCCAGCCTTTGTGGTCACTTGGGGAGTGAATCATTGGATGGAAGATCTTCCTCTCTGTCTCTCCTCCTCTCTGTATATATCTGACTTTGCAATAAAAAAAATAATAATATCTTTAAAAAAAAAAAAAACAGTGCCAAACCTTGGGATCTTTGCACCCACACGTGAGACATGGAAGAAGCTCCTGGTTTTGGATCGGCTCAGCTCCAGCAGTTGTGGCCACTTGGGGAGTGAACCAGCAGAGAGAAAATCTTTCTCTCTATAAATTTGCTTTTCCAATAAAGGAAAACTCTGTGAAAATTAATACTCAAATCCCTATTCCTCTACTTGTTCCCACCCCTAGGCAACCACTGAGTGCTACACTGTCACTACAATTTATTTTTGATATTTCATGTAAATGCAATTGTGTGTTTTTTCTGGGGAATATCTTTTTTCTCCTTGAATGTTTGCAAGATTGTTCCACAATGTAGTATATCTATTACCTCCCTTTTCATTCCACCACATAAACATACTACATTTTATCTGACCACTCACCACCTGATGAATATTTGGGTTGTTTCCACTTTTGAACTATGAAATAAATACTATTAATTTTTCTAGACAAGTTTTTGTATTTAGACATATTTCCATTTCCCTTAGATTTATACTTACTACACCAGACTTTCTGGGTCACATGTTAATGTTCTGAGTGGGTTTAAATTAATTTTCAAAGTAGCTGCACCATGCTCCCAATAGCATTGTGTGAAGGTTGCTACTAGTTTTTTAATCACTACTATCCTGTTAATTAAGAATGGTATCTCATGATTTAAATGTATATTTTTGGGGTCAGTAGGGTGGCTAATCCTCTGCCCTGTGTTACTGGCATTCTAGGTATGCGCCAGTTTGTATCCCAGCTGCTCCATTTCCAATCCAGCTCTTTACCTATAGCATAGAAGGGCAATACAAGATTTTCTAAACCCTAGGGACCCTATACCCCTGAGGGACACCCACAAGAGGCTCGAGGCCTATTTGGAGGCTGCTCTAAAGCAAGCCAAAGCATTGTAGTCACCTGCAAAGTGAGCTGGTGAAAGCAAGAACTCTTTTCTAAACATATATTTTCCTAATAACTCACAATACTGAGCATCTTTTCAGTGATTATGGGCTGGCTAAAGATTTTCCTTGAAGAGATGTCAAGTCATTTACTCATTTCATAAATCAACTTTTTTTTTGGCGATCTGTAAGACATTATATGTTCTGATGCAAGCTCATTATTTGATATATAACTTGCAAATACATTCTTCCTTTTGGGTAGTGTACTTGCCATGTCACTTGATGGCACTGTCAACATAAGTATACAAGTTTTTCTCTCTCCCCCTCCCATTCTTTTTTTTTTTAAGATTTATTTTTTATTATTATTATTTTTTTATTGGAAAGGCGGATATACAGAGAGGAGAGACAGAGAAGAAGATCTTCCGTCCGATGATCCACTCCCCAAAGTGAGCGCAACGGCCGATGCTATGCCAATCAGAAGCCAGGAGCCTCTTCCGGGTCTCCCACGCGGGTGCAGGGCCCAAAACCTTGGGCTGTCCTCGACTGCTTTCCCGGGCCACAGGCGGGGAGCTGGAAGGGAAGTGGGGCTGCCGGGATAGAACCGGCGCCCATATGGGATCCCGGGCGTGCAAGGTGAGGACCTTAACCACTGCGCCACTGCGCCAGGTGCTCCCCCTCCCATTCTTTTGAATTCTGATTTATCTTTTGTCAATTGCGTTTTTGGAATATTATCTAAAGTAACTTGGCTAATTCAAGGTCACAGACATTCAGTTCAATAATTCCTTTTCTAAGGGATTAATCTTATTACTTAGATTTACTTTATGCATAAGCTTATGATAATGGTGATTTCTGTATGTGGTGTATGGAAGGGAATCCAGTGTGTCAGCACTTTTTGTTGAAAAGATGATTCTTTTCCCTATACAGCTGTTTTGGGACTTAGGTCAAAAAATCACCAGCCAGCAAGTTTTAACTCTGGACAATTTTTTCACTGATTTATATAGGATCACACTCTTGATCACGGCAGTTTTGTGGTTTTTAGAAATCAGGAGTAAATCCTTCTACTTTGTTGTTTTTTATGACTGTTCTGACCACTCAAGGTACCTCGAATTTTTGCAGGAATTTTAGGATTCGTTTGTCAATTTCTACAAAGATGGCAGCTGGGATTTCAAAGAATGTACAAAACATACACCAATTTGGGAGTGTTATCATCTTAATATTGTTTTCTAATCCATGAACAAACACTGGAAGCCTTTCAACTATTAATTGTTTTCAAGGATATTTTGTAAATTACTGTCTACCAAACCATATACATCTTTGCTAAATTTATTTGTGATAAATTCCACATGGTTGTGGTGTTTACTGCTCTTTATGTGTTGATGGAGTTTTACTAATGTCTTATTTAGAATTTTTTTCACTGTAAGTTCTATAGTTTTCTTGTGATGTATTTTCCTGGCTTGGGTGCCCTTCATATCTCACTGGGGTATTCTGAACCACTTTCTCTTTACTGACTGCAGTGTCACACACTTTAAAATACCAAAAATCAGGAAAGGACAAAAAAAATAAATAAACTTGTTTCCTTTTGAGGAAAAAAAAAAAAAAACTACTTAGAACAAAGTTTTCCTCAGACAAGAAGCTGGTATTAATGCCTCTTTATATATATGATAGGAATAGCCAGTGAAAATACATGGTTGTAGGTTTTTTTTTGAAGCAAGTTTCTCAATTCTTGTTTTATGTTGTATAATTTTCCTAACTGCTTTTACATATTACCACAACTGGTGGTCAATTTATTCTTTCATAGCTCTGAAGTCCAGAAGTCCTAAATTAAGGTGTCAAGGGGAGGCATTCCCTTTTTGAAGGCTCTAGGAATGAGTCCAAGCATATTACTTCCTAGCTTCCAATAGCTGCTGACAGTCTTTGGAGTTCCTTGGTTTATGACAGCTTAACTACAATCTATGCCTCCATCGCTACGTAGTTTCTCCCCTCAATGTCTCTATTACAGACATGGATTTTGGATCCACCCCAATCTAGTATGATCTCATTTTTAAAAGATTTATTTATTTTTAACTGAAAGAAAGAGAAACAAAAGTCTCCCATCTGCTGTTTCACTCCCCAAGTGGTCACAATGGCTGCAACAGAGC